CCATCCTCCCCCCCCCCCCCCCCCCCCCCCCCCTGGATTCTGCTCGGGAAATGCTCGACAAATTTGGACTGGGTAAGGAATTTAGATAGCGAGAGTAATATTTTCGAATAAACATAAATTAGATCTCTATAACAGAGCAGCTTGGACAACTATTTGGACCAGAGTATGTTTCATATTTTTCAAAGACAAAAGTAGCTATAGGGCCAGTGATCAAAATAAAGTATGCTACCCATAAGGTCATTTCGTTAAAAAACATAATGCTGCTAATAGTCCTGTTGATCCTCCTCCCTCCTTCACTAGTGACCTGATGCATCCTAATTTTGTTTTTATCAATTAAGGTTGACACTCTTCAGCCATGTCCGAATCAGCTGGTGTTGCCATAACAACGGTGCTCTCCATACTTGTCATTGTAGATATTTTAGGAAACTTTCTCGTTTGTTTGATCATAAAGAGAAATCGAGATATGAGGTATGTCGAGACCGAAATAACTATTAATAGTATTTCTAGATGCTGACGTTTCATACTGCAAGTTTTTAGATATACTTTGTATCGGTAGTATAGTGTCACGTGCATATGACCATGTCAAAGTATAAGGAAACGAACTAAGATAACTAAAGAATTGGTAAAACGATGATTTCCAGATAAATCAGCTTTAACATCCCTAACATGCAATAGTTTCTCTTTCCAAAATAGTCCACTTGTAAATCTCAATTGCTAGCTGATTTCTATTGGTCACTGCAAGTTCACACTTATACTGTCTTTGCTATACAGTCGGGGGAACACTGAGTAACAGTTAATGACGTATTTCCCGACCCGAAAGGCGACTGAGCCCGTGATGTTCGTACCCGACGTTGCTAAGCAACATGACGTATTTGCTGCGCGATTGCTTTCGGAGTATCGCGTGAGTGCTCGCGCTAGTTTCTGATTAGATAAAAATATTCGGTAATTTGCCAAAACCGGCACTTGTTCCCCTGACTGTATATTAATTAACGCGAAGTTGATGAAGTACGACCGGGTCCTCACATTACCGTGAACTTATTTATTTCTGCCATTTCATCTGTCTTTCATTATACGCTTTTCAATTTCACAGGATTCCCATAAATTATCTGCTTGTGAACCTGGCTGTAGCGGACATCATGTATGCGACGTTTATTGCACCAAAAGTATTTTTCAAGCTCATTTTAACCCAACCAGACGGGATGACTGGTACGATTATATGCAAATTTCTGACAGATGGAAATGTCGCCTCCGTTGGAGCAGCTTCCTCGATTGTAACTCTGACTGAAATTGCCATTGAACGATATTATGCAGTAATGTATCCTCTTGGTAACAAAGGGAAACTTACCAAGCGTAAACTGAAGGTATGTTCGGCAGACAAATAAATAGAATGTTTATTGAATTTCATCTTTGAAGTGCGTTAATTTTTTAATTCATTTAGTTGAGCGCGGTGCACGAGCCAGACGGACATGTGGCCGAGCGGAAATGCGGGTCTGTGCAATTTCAAGAAAATTAGTGAGAATAAGGAGTGAAAATTAAATCAATTATTAATCAATATCCCGAGATTTACACTACAATTTCAGGTGATTATTTCTGGTGTTTGGATTTTTTCATTAATGTTCAACATACCGCTGTTTCTGGTCACGTACTTTGAAAGAAGAGCAACTCATGTGTGGCCACCTGGCCTGAGAAGTGGATGGAGAAGGCTTATAATTTGACATGGGAGGTCACGGTTGTTCTTTCTTTGGCACTGATGGTTGGGTTGTACTCCAGAGTCGTGTACACTTTGTGGTTCAAACGTAATGACGACAATCAACTCACCCACCAACAAAGAGTAAGTGTTACGTGTAGAATTTTTCTATCGCTTCTCACCGCTATGTGATCTGAACAACACCAGCGAATCATCTCTGTTTCTGTGTTCTGAACCAATATAAATTCACTGAACATATTGCATTCTCTGGTATCAATGAATGGATATGCGAAGGCGTCGTGTTCACGGTAAAGTGTGTACGTTAGTCGATATTGACTGAAGCAAGTAATGTATTATGACAAGATATTCTCTTGATTATGAGCCTGGCGCCACACCCCTCCCTCCTCCCCCTCCCTTCCTTAGTAGTACACACCCCGTAACTGACAAAATTGCTAAGGTATTCCTCTCTTTCTGTCTGGACTATGCATTTGACTAGCACTGGTGCAAACCGTCGTATATGCAAGTAGTTTACAGTCTAAACATTTGTGTGAAGTCGTTGTTGGTACTGAAAGGCCATAGACCCATTCCCTACATATGACCGCTTAATACATGTTTGACTATACTTGCGGTATTTTTCTATATACACAGGGTGTCTTGAGGCTGCGAAAGCGTGCCACCTTGATGGTCGTTATTGTGAGTGTGATATTCGGAATCTGTTGGGGCACAAGCACGGTTGTTTACATCTTAAAGTACGTTACATCCTGCAACATTGGTCCTGTCCCAGTTGCCATTGCTAACACAATGGTCTTGTTTAATTCTGCTGTCAACCCGTTTGTGTACGCTCTGTTGAGCCAACAATTCAGGGAGAAGATCAAGAGAATGATATACTGCACGTCCAGTTCATTGGAGCTCAGGAATCATCCTATGCGGGAACCTCGAAATGATCAGAACATCGAGCTTGCTGACAACTGAGCCGAAAACAACAACATGAAATGACCAAATTCTGCGTATTTTGGAGAATCACGATGAATCTAACTATGTATTCAGTTGTAGCTAGTTTTCTTAAACCGATAGACACTGTACTGCATAGATCTAGATAGTTTAAGTAAGTATAATTCATTTTTTCAATAGGTGTTGTCCTCGGAATCGCCGTCGTCATTGCTTAAGCTCCTTTATACAGCACGGGAGTACGTAGGGGCTGAGCACTATTACACTGACTATACATTATGCATTATGGTAGTTTGACAGCAGTGTAGCACTTCGTTCTAAGGGTGCACCATGTTTTTTGATTATGTCGGGTTGCTTTATAACTAAAGAATCGCATTTTTGTTATATTTATACAACAATCAAGATACTGCGCAAGTTGTGATTGGTTCTTGAATAAATGAATGATGGCCGCTGATGACCGCTGCAAGAGAGGATTATCTAAGGGAAGCATTCCCTCATACATGGGACTCTTCTAATGATAATTTTTATGAATCCATTTTAATGTTCAGTCCATAGCTGAGGCTATTTTTAGAGCGCTCGGCTGATTGGTCAGTTCGAGTAACGCGATGCCGACGTCTCGATCAGACTAGACGGAAATAAAAATAACTTTCACAGCATGGCGCGAAACTATTAACAGATTTCAAAACATTATCACGAGGCACGGGGAATCCTTCTCTTAGATCATCCAGTCTCTTGTGGCCAGTCAGTGCTTACTTAATCCCGTGAAAATAGATATCTAGGATACGTTAGTTAATTGTTTAAAACGTAATACGTTATCTCAGGTACTTCTAGCCGTTTGTTCTGGGGTGTCCATCTCAGGAAATGAGGAAGTGGAAGGGGTAGTATCAACGGTTGGGAGATTTTGTTACAAAATCGCAGGCAACAGTATGTATTTACCCAGACAAAGTACGCCTGGTTTATCAGTAATTGACCACATTGACGAAACTGAAAATGTAAAACAGAGTAATGAAGCGATCAAAAGGAGAAGACTAGTGTGGATACAAACAGTACAATAAAATAATCAAAAATGTCATACAAAATCATCATCATTACTAAAACTGCATGGCATCGCTCATAGATGAAAAGGCTGTGTGTGTTTTAGAACAGCAAAGAACAGTATTGATTATTATTCATAATCCAGTCTTTTATATTCATATACCATTACATGCACTGTATTTAGAATGTTGAACGAAATAAACCAAAAGTTTCATGTACCTCTACAATAAAATTGAAGTCAGTTTTTGAATATGGTTGCAACTTTAATAATAAATTATTTAAATTACTCATTTAAAAAATCTAAAATTTCAAAGTTTTCAGAACTTGCCAAAATTTTCCGCATTACGCGAAGTATATGGTTGGCTTTCACCTAATGAAACATCTGGCTTGGAGTGATTCCCAGTTTGTAATGCTGTACCGTCGGCTACGCGACCTTCGAAATCAAAATTCACTTGGCAATAGACTTCCGTCAATCATGCGTTAACCTTATATGGCTTTTATCCTTCCGTGCGACAAAATCGATATCGTGCACGCAATTCCACTCCGCTACCGCCAAAATAAAGATCTTACATTCAAAACGGCTCATTAAAATTTCGACTAGACATATCCAGGACGTTATTATGCAAATCTGCCAGGTTCTCCTGTATTGCCAAATGAATTTTGATTTGGAAGGCCGCGTATAGCAGTGCGTGAAATTGACGATAAAGCCAATATATAAAAATATACAATCACAGCAGTAAACTTCCTAAAGTTTCGTTCCTGGAATCACCTCAATGATGTATTTTTCTGGTTGGCTTCAATAATTCTTAAATTTCACCCTCACTTTCTAAAGGTAAGCGTCTTTGTTTGCTTTTATTTGTTCCCAGATCGTTTTGACGATTTTGGCTTTACAGTATCAGGTACTAAACATGTGGATCGTTATTGTCTGTGATCTGGTGTTAAGTAAATTTTTTAACAATAATCATTTTAGGATCGGACATGTAAGGGAAGTCCATCAAAAAGTTCGATATCAATTTTCAAGAGGTTTCATCCCACTTATTTTTACGTTAGCAAAATATGCGCTGCGAAAAGGAATTAACAACTGCTTCTCTTAAGTCGTTATTAACTATTTAATTCACGCTCGCGTTAGAAGACTTGTTAGAGTTTTGGGAATCGCCCAAAACGGCCACCAGATTTGAGAACAAAGGATTATAGCTACAATGGCTAGATGTGTAATTGTTTCGGTACGACTGATATTTCCAGGAAACGCATGTTAAATGTTTTTGTTTTCCTCGAAATTTGGAGATAAATTACTAACTGTAATCATTTTTCATAGAAAACAAATTCACAGTTTTACCAACAGGAGTCAAAGCTGTGACCTTCCGCACAGCAGTCGGAAACTCTACCATTGAGCTACAAGTTACTTGAATGGCTTAAGCCATTAAAATAGATTATCATCATGCTCGAAATGCAAAATAACACATTTTCACTCATTTACATTTGACTTCATGTTTCCCCAACGGATTTAGCCACTGTTTTAATTAAAATTAGAACTGCAAAACAATATTTCATTACTACTATTCAGAGCTTACGTTTGGTAATCGTAAATTAAGAACTGGAAAATAATGGTCAACTACTAATAATAAGTGCTTTTTTAAAAGCTTTTGTTTGAGAAGCCATATCAAAAACGCGTGCTTCGTGTTTCATTCGGCGTTCAAAACACCTCGAAACAATAAAGTTTCTCGTTGTTTAATTTGGAACTCCTCACCTCATGAAACACTCGCACTCGCTGTTGGTTTATTACGTCGTAACTGGGCTTGAAAAGCTTTACTTATAAGCGATAAAACATTTAGCCTGTGTCACATTCGACATCTCCCCCCTCGATGTACACAGGCTATAAAACATTTTGCTGAATTTAAAATGACCACATATCGATTAAATGGATCTTTTTATATTACAACGCATAATTATCTTTCCAGGCGAATTATACGCCTTCTTTAATTACAAACAGCTGTTTTATATGTCTAATACTAGAAGGTATTGACGCATAATCAGGAATGATTAGCTAATATGCATGGGCCCTGTTCTTCATAGCCTGAGATCAGGCTCCTGAAGAAAATTTTTTTTCGCTCGCAAATTTTCTTCAAGAGCCTGACATCAGGCTATGTTCTTCATGAAATAATGAGGAACAGATAGCATGCGCGATACAGTCAAGTATCTACAAAATAATGCCGGACAAAACTATTATTCTCTACAAAACAATTAGACTCGGCATTTTTCATACACGTCATCTGATTGGTCTAAGTGGAGCATGCGCATGCAAGGTTCCCTCGACCCAATTCTTAGCACCATCCAGAAATAAAACGCGAGAAGAGCGGTCGAGGGACTAGGCGAGGGATTAGTGGTGCCCACTAAGTTTTGAAGTGAGCTCAAAAATTGTGACCCTCCCCCAAATTGGAGCACAAAAAAATTGTGACCCTCCCCAAATCGGAGTCCAGTTGTCCCTCATCTCTCTTCGTTCCTCCCTCATTCCCCCCTTTATTCCTCCTCCTTCCTCCTTCCTCCTCCACTAGTGACTATGCATCCTAATTTTGTTTTTATCCACAGGTCACCTAACTAACATTGACACCCAGCAATCATCATGTCCGAATCAGCTGGTGTTGCCATAACAACGGTACTCTCCATACTCGTCATTGTAGATATCTTGGGAAACTCTCTCGTTTGTTTGATCATAAAGAGAAATCGAGATATGAGGTATGCCGAGAAATATATAACTCAAAATAGTATTTCTAGTTAGGTTTTGTACTGAAAATTTATAGATATGTGTCTAAACGTACCCCATGCATGACTGAGTTGGCCTTCAAGCGTCTAGCAAATTTGAGAGGGGCAGGGGCGACTGTTTTACACATGTCACATGTGCCAGATTTTCCAGTCAATGACCTAGCAGTCGCAAGGAGCCCTAGGTCAAGGGATGAATTTCTCTCTTGCTAGGGAGTTCTGATTCGGACTTGTCACAGAACTGACACAAATATAGCAGCTAAGAGCTGGTTCCCTCAAATAAAGCAAAGTACACGGCGACAAACGGAAAAGCTGTACCTTATAGCCATGTCAGTGAGCCGCGTAGGCCTGGAGAAAGCCCTTTTAATTTAGTCCTGGCACAAATGTCAAAAAACTTTGAACGATACCGTTACAACATATTTTATACTAGCTAGATATCAAGTTCCACGTGCAAGAAATAATAGACTGCCAAAAAGTCTCTTTTTTTCTCGAGATATAGCTAGGTAATGCTTGAATCAGGAATGGAGAAGGGAAGCTCGAGGTTTCAACATCTCTCCCAAATGCTACTCGTAATTTCTACGCTCGCTCCAGATTATTTTCGGACTGCTGCATTTCACCCAACAAAACCGCGCTAAAAGAAGGACTGATTTACAGTGTAGTACTAATTGGATTCTGATTACACATGACTAACATTAACGTTAGCGTGTTTCAACCTCCTATTTCCGCCCTGTGTTATCTGTATTATTGATCAAATGCTTTTTAATTCCACAGGACTCCCATAAATTATCTGGTTGTGAACCTGGCTGTAGCGGATATCATGTATGCGACGTTTATGGCACCAAGAGTATTTTTCAAGCTGACTTTCACTCACCCAAACGAGGTGACTGGTACAGTTTTATGCAAATTCCTGACAGATGGAAACGTGGCGTGGGTTGGAACAGCTTCCTCGATTGTTACTCTGACTACAATCGCCATTGAACGATATTATGCAGTATCGTATCCCCTTAGTACCAAAGGGAAACTTACAAAGCGTAAACTGAAGGTATTTTCGGCAGATAAATTGTATTAATTGGTAAATAGAATGTTTTATTGAATGTGTGAATTCTTCAATTCATTTGTCCATTGAAATAGAATGACCTTATTCTCAATTTTTTTTTGCGAGTATTAATTTTCGCGCTTTTCACGATGTAAAAAAAAAAGCGGAAATAAGGGCGATATTTTCGCAAAATTGTAAGCCTTTGAGCTCTTATAATAAAACCTGGCGAAAATACGATTTCGATTTCGCACAATTAAGTAAGCGCGCGCGAAAATTAGTGAGAATAAGAAGGTGATTGCACTTTACAATTTCAGGTTATCATTCCTGGTGTTTGGATTTTTTCAATGATACTCAACATCCCGCTGTTCCTGGTAACGTGTTTTTTACAAAAAGAGCAACTCATGTGTGAATTCCTGGCCTGAGAAGTGGATGGGGAAGGCTTACACTTTGACATGGAATGTAATGGTTATTCTTCCCTTGGCACTTATGATTGGGTTGTACTCCAGAGTCGTGTACACTTTGTGGTCCAAACGTAATGACGACAATCAACTCACCCACCAACAAAGAGTGAGTGTTACGTGTAGAATCCACCACGAATTGTTCTGTCGCTTTCCGTCGGGTTTCCACTTAGTGAAAAACATAGACTGCAAAACAGTCTCTCTTTTCTCTCTCTCTCTCTGAAGATATTGATGCGTGACGTGATAATTGAGAGGCGCGAAGCACCGCCACTCGTAATTTTCACGCTCCGCGTTCTGGGGATCATTTGCGGTCCAATTTGGGGATCGTTTGCGGTCGGGATCATTTGCGGTCCCGGGATCATTTGCGGAGCTGTACAGTACTCCACCAAAATTTCGGTGGGAGTGTGCGGCACGCTTCTTGAAACCCTTACCCCATTTCAGACCAAAATATGTGATTTTCCCTACCTTATTTCAGACCTGACACTTAAAATTTCGGGGAACATTCCCCCACTTTAAAGTCAAAATGGCAAAAATCTATACCCTATTTCAGACCAGTAGGAAAAACATACCCTATTTCAGACCAAAATTGGCAAAATCTATACCCGTTTTCAAACAAAACGGCTCAAAAACCATACCCTTTGGCGCCGCACATACCTATATAGCTTGTATAAGGAAGTACGGGCTGTTTTGCAGACTATGAAGAACAACACAAGTCAGTCGTTTCTGTTTCTGCTCTGGACCAATAAAAATTAACTGAACATGTTGTATTCTCTGATATCAATATGCGGAAGCGTCGTGTTCACACGTTATTCGATATTGGCTGAACACCTCCCCCCCTGAGTCGGTACACAGCCCAGTGACTGACTGTTCTCTCTTTCTGTCTGAAATATGCCGATTTGACTAGTACTAGTGTAACCATCGAATTTGCGAGTAGTTCATGGTCTGAACGTTTGTGGTGAACTAGTTGTTGGTGAGTGAACCTGTCCGGTTACAGACCCATTCCCTAAGGGTTACAGCTTAATGCAGTTTGAGTGTATTTGCGCATCTTTCTATCCACAGGGTGTCTTGAGGCTGCGAAAGCGTGCCACCTTGATGGTCGTTATTGTGAGTGTCATATTTGGAATCTGCTTCGGCACAAGCACGGCTGTCTACTTCTTAACGGACGTTGCATCCTACAACATTGGTCCTATCCCAGTCGCTATTGCTGACACAATGGTATTGTTCAACTCTGCTGTCAACCCGTTTGTGTACGCTCTGTTGAACCAGCAATTCAGGGAGAAGATCAAAGGAATGATACGCTGTACTGGTTGTATGGCAACAAGGGTTTATCATATGCAGGAACCTTAAAATGACCAGAACATCGAGCTTGCAGACAATACAACCCAGTCCACCCATACAGTAGGACCCTATTCCACGGAGTGATCGATATGTTCATTTTATTTCTAGTGGCTTAGAGTTCACATGGAAAAGACAATGCATGTCACTATTATTTTTAACTGATTTATTTATGTCGATTATCATAGTACATTCACTGAGTCCCGGTAAAATCCCCATGCATTTTCTTAAAAAAATCAACCTCTGTAATGCGGACACCTCTATATAATTCGGACGACGGACCTTTTACTTAGCACGACTGATAGCAAAATTCATATAAACTCTACCTCTTTATTATTGACAATACTGGCCCTGCAGTGTAGAATAACCTGGAATATCAGTCTTCGTGCAATCCATCAAAATAAGCCTTTTTCAGTTGTTAGATTGTCGTGGATATTGATAATAGACCATTACTGATCGACAGACACGTGGTGTCAGGCGGAAATTCTCTATATCATGTAAGACCTATGCACTGTACATGATGGTCATAGTAATATGACCATGTAGCTCAGTGATAGCGTTTATATACATCTTGATACATATTAATTTATTTGCCGTCCTCTGCAAAAAAAAAATCGTGACTAAGGCCCAGTTCAGACGCCGTACTTCACATGAACCGAATCGAATTCGAATTTAGGCCGACCCAAATTAATTTAGACCGACTGAATTGATTCAGACGCCGAGCTTAATTTAGCCAAACTTGATTTAATAGGGGAAAATTGCTGTCATATTGAAAAATACATTATACTAATTCATGCATTTGTTTCGGCTCA